CCAGGTTGGACCTGCGTGATGCTAGAACACCAGGGTTTTACTGCCACGGGCCGCCTACATCCTGATCCGAAGCCCATTGGAGTCAGTGAGAGTCTTTCCACCAGCCTCAGGGGCCTTTTGGATCCATCACTCTGCTCTGTGCCAGACCTGGCTCAGACCAGTGACCCATCTAGCCCAGAATCCCGCTTTCAACAGTGGCTGGTACTAGATGCTTCTGACGATCATTTCAGATGTTCTCATTATTTATATCAAAGTCTAATCCGTCTTCGAAACCTGATCAATTTGCAGCCTCCATGGGATACTGTGGCAGGGAGTTCTACAAGTTAATACTGCCGCATGTAAAAAAAACCCATTTTCTTGTATCCATTTTAGGAGCTGTATTGTGAGTGTCCCCAACATGGGTGCACAGGAGGAGGGAGACCACAAGGAACCTCCCCCCAGGCCTCCGCGAGGATCACGCTTTCCGCCATATTCCTCCTGGTGGATCATGCTGTCCCAAAAGTGGGTGGGAAGGAGGTGGGGCCATAATATGCTCCTCCCCTCCATACAAGGAATGGAATCAGGGCTAGAAGGGACTCTTTCTACACCCTGGGCTGCTCCGGGAGGAATTCAGCCACCCATCCCCATGCCACCCTGCCCTGCTCCAAGGCTGCGTGCAGACTGCACTATGGCTTTTCCATTTGATTGGCTGTCCCGTGGTTTGGGGAGGGACAGATTGACAGGTGGGGGAAGCCAAGTCACTAAATCTCCTTGGCCACATATATACCTCTTAGTCACTGCATCACGCTTTCCAGTCAGCGAAGTACTCAATACCGAACCTTCACTGCAAGTGGAAGAGCCACTCCCGGTGACACTAGTGCAAGCTACATAGCAGTGGCCCTACTACATGGCTCCCCTTCTCCTAGCTGGGCTCAGGAGCTCACACTCACCGTTGCACTTCACTGTTCCATCAGTGAAGTGCTGCTCCCCAGAGCTAGATGCAAACCCACGTTTGCAGGTGCACTGGTAGCTCCCAGGGACGTTGTCACAGGTTGCATAAGCAGGACAGAGAGATGAATCCACGCACCTGTCAGCTGGGAAATGAAGAAGAAACAATTAAATTAATTAATAAGCCTTTGCCCCTTTTGTCTTACATCTTCAATGTGCTTCATATTCCTTCATTAAGCCTCCCCGCAAGTGAGGAAGAGTGGGCCTAGCAGAATAGGTGGGTGGGGAGGTAGGATCAAGGCAGCTGGGCTCTCTTCTGAAGGCATCAGGTGAAGAAACAAGAAAAGGCCTTTAGCCCCCTCCTCTGAAGCCGGGAAAGGAAAAGCCAGAGATGAGGGGGGAGGGTAGGAACAGAGGATGGGTGTTAAGGGAGCTGATCCTGTGAACTGGCTTTGATATCACTGTGAGTGATTGCCCAGCACCACACAGGAACTCTAGAGCCCTACTGGTAACAATTTCCCTCCCTACATAGCCCTGGCTCATCCCCAGAGCAGATCTAGCCCGTGCACTGAGTGAGGCAGGGGATGACCATGTAACGAAGCCTGTGGCATGATGCACATGCACATGGGGACAGAGAACACTTGACTTCCAGCATTTCCTAACTTCTGAGTGGTTGACTTGCAACCTCCTGGAGGGGAGGAGGGGTGGACAGAGGTGCGAGGGGGCATGACCCTGAAAAGTTTGGGGACCACTGCTTTAGAATGGTCTTTTAACAAAGGCATGTTTTGTGCATGTATTTTCCCAGGTTTTTCAAAAAGCAAACTGGAAAAAACCATCACGTGGCACCGTATGAAGAGCCACATGGGTCACCAGATGAGTTGGAACCTTAACATCCATTGCACAGACCTCGGCCACTTGAGCTGAGGGAGGAACTGAGAGCCGCAGCAGCTTGTCAGTATCTATGCGAGGGAGGAGGCACTTTGCCGGGGAGTTCCCCGGATCCCTGTTGACAGCAGAGGAATGGGGAGACTCTGGAATCTTGGCCTCCATTCCAGGCTCTGGAGGGACCGTGGTCTAGTGGGTGCAGACCCGTCCGCCCATTCCCCCAAGCTCAGCTCCTTCCGCCCCATCCCCTCCAATCTGTCCCAGGCCCAGTGCTGTCTTTTCCCCAGTTCTGGCTCCTTGTCCCCATCCCATTCTGCACTCCTCACATTTCTCATCCCAGTGCCCGTCTCCTTGCCCAGCCAGTCCCAGTCTCCTCCCCGTGCCTGATCCCCGCTCCCTCCCAGTCCCCGTCTCCTTGCCCAGCCAGTCCCAGTCTCCTCCCCTTGCCCGATCCCCCCTCCAGGGTGGATTTGATTTAAATCAGGGTGAGGGTGGGGACAACTCCTCCTACACCTTGGATTAAGACCACAAGAATGGCCACACTGGGTCAGACCAATGGTCCATCTAGCCCAGGACCCTGTCTTCCAACAGTGGCCGGTGCCAGGTGCTTCAGAGGCCTGGCCTGGCTCTCTTAGTCACCGCATCACGCTTCCCAGTCCCTGATACTCTTTTCTCTAGTACCTGACGTATTAGCTTCATCGCACGCTCCGGAGCTACTCCATGGAAGTCTCCTCAGTACAGAGCTCCCCCTCCCTTAGCTCCAGGGCTCACACTCACCGTGGCAACGGACGGCTGGATCGGTGAACTTCATGGCCCCCGAAGTGGATACGAACCCAGGTTGGCAGGTGCAGTAGTAGCCCTGGGGAGCGTTGGTGCACGTTGCGTGATCAGGGCACAGCATTGGATCGTCGCACCTGTTCACTGGGAAATGAAGAAGGAACCAGGGCTGGACATTGAATTAAAATGCAGCCCTGTTTAGCTGCCAGCGGAGAAGGTCGCTTTGTGGCAAGCGGGGACACAGCGCAAGAGAGCAGAAGGGAATGAAAAAGAAGAAAGAGAAAAATACACAGAAAGGTGGGGAAAGGGGAGGAGGAAATGGGATGGAAAGTTCTTTGCCGTTCAAAGCCCCCCTCCAGCTGCAGGACACACCAGGGTTCGGATCTGGAGATTTTGTCCAGGTTTCTAGGCATCAACTTACGAGCGCTGGAGAAATGCTGAGTCCCCTTGAAGCAGACGAGCCAGCAAAAGCCTGAAAGAGGAGAAACAACCAAGGATTGTTATTGCACTGGGTTTTCATACAGTTACCCTGTAGGAGGCTGGGTGGCCAGGGCCGGCTCTAGGCACCAGCAAAACAAGCTGGTGCTTGGGGCGGCACATTTTTAGGGGCGGCATGGCCGGCGCCAGAATGCCGCCCCTAAAAATGTGCCGCGG